ATGTATATATATATATATATATATATATATATATATATATATATATGTTTGGTCACTTTTGTGTGTGTATGTGTATATATATATTATATAATTTTTGTTGGCACGGGTAGGAAAATGAAAAACAGAGCAGTTAACTTTTCCAGGGTCACCTATCTAGTACTTGCATGGGGCCAAGGTTTGAACCCAGACATTTCCACTGCTAGACACCCTGGTTTTTAGTCATGATATTATATTACAGCATCTGAGTGCTGGAGTTGCTGAAATCCTAGGCTATATTGCTTTATTATGAAAGTTAGAGGTTAGCAGCTTTCTTCTTGTTGATCTTTTCTAATTCTCTGGTCCAACGCAGAACTTAGATAAATAGGAGAGGTCATGGTGGATCTGAGGCCAATAGCAACATGAAAAAAAATTCTTCTTGGGAACCTCAAATCATAAAACATTGAAACAGTGCTGTGATGCTTTTTGTTACAGCAAACAAAAATAATGGAAAAACATCCAATATTCTCAAATCATAAGATCAATAAGACCCTTTCTTTTGCATATGGATTACTGAATACTGAGAATAAGAATGCAGGCCTGTGCCTCTGTGAAGCCTAGAATTTGCACTGTAAAGGGAAAGTAGATATGGGGCAGACTACAGTCTGGGTTGTGGAGGTCAGCTAACAACAGGGAGCCTTCAGTCTGTGACAAGGCAGGGAAAGAACTGGCTTTCCAGAATGCTTTAAGGATGAGAAAATATAAAGGAAGGCTTCTGGGGCTGGCCAGAGAAGCCGAAGGCCCACCTGGAGTTTGTCTCAATGGAGCTGCTGGTGGCCAGAGTTCCTCTCCTTCTCTATTCAGTGGGCAGTATGTCCAGTGGGAGAAAGCCAGTGGAGGAATGTGATTTCCTATTTGGGCCTAGACAAGATAGGCACCTAAGCACTTGGCAGTCAGCCTCATGAAACAGAGAATAGGAAGAAAATCTGGGGGAAATTGAACCCTAAGGTGCTTTAGATATTTACATGGAAGTCTCGGGGGGGGGGTAAAAAAACTATCTTTAGTACTACTTTTGGTAAAAATAAATCTTCTATCTACTGTTTTCCTGGTTTAGTACTTGAAAACAGGATGATTTTGATTGGATTATGTAAAAGATCTAATTTGAATTATCATTAAAAACTCTGAAATAGAGGGAAAAAAAAAAAAACAAACAACAAAGCAAAACTATTCCTAGGCTTAAAACATACTCCCAAACTTCTAAGTTGTATGCTGACACACAGCACTGTCCCACTTGACAGCACTATATTTACAGCCAGAAATGATGGTGCTCTGGGTGGTTATTTTTCATGTAGGAAGTCACACTAACACCCCTGAGCCACCTGCATATATCTTAAAGCTAACTTTTCCCTACCAGAATAATGATTCTGTTTAAGACTTTTAAAAAGAGAGATCCTGAATGTCAAGGTGTTATAAAAAGATAAAGCATGCATTGCACATGTCCATAGGCTTCTGCCCAGTGGGGCGTTCAGGGCAGGCTTTGTTGAGCTGGTTTCATTACTGGAGAGCCTGATAAATGCTCCACCACTAGTAGCCTGGAGCTTTCTTTTAGGCTCATGCTGTGAACCCACTCAAGCACAGACTATCATTATATGGCTTTATTACTATTACTTTTTCTAATTTTTCAATTATAATTTTTTTAGGAATTATAGAGTTCATGGTTTTAGCAGTGACTCTTCACTGCATGCATAAAACCAGGTGGACCTGAGTATGGCATTGCAACTACAGAGGGTTAAACAGTCAGTTATCCCAAGGCTCTCAACTCAGGACTTCCTCAGCTATCAAGCAGGGAACATAATTTCAGGATCACCCTTCCTAGTTCCAACATACCAATAAAATAGGATGCAGAGTAGCCAAGCTCCAACATTCACCTATGATTTATATATTAGCGAGCTCAGGATTTCTGATAGACTGAATAAGTATTTTAGTCATTTAACAGTTTTGGCATTGACTTCCTGATGACCCTTCATTATCTTTGGGAGGTGAAACCTAACTAGTTACAAATTCATCTTAAAATTTGTAATCAACACGTGGGCTTCTAATGAAGTTAACAGTCAATCAGGGGGACATTCTCTACTTTTTTCAAATGCACCTAATGACCTTCCATTACCATCATTTGTTTTTCAACAGAAAAGTTTACATACATAGAGCATAAAGATTTGTAAAGAACCAATGACATTAACAAATAATGCCTTCCTGTTAAACTCACAGAGCCAAAAGGATATTGCAATGGCTGTTTGTGCTATCAAGAATTCTTCACAGAAAGCATCATTCTAGGGCTTACCACAGTCCTTTTCCATAGAGGACTCCCTCAGCGAGCACTTAATGTTCAAGACCTACCCATAGTGAAGTGAAGAGCTTGTGTCTTCCATTTACTCCAATGAACCTGATAGAATTACTGAGACTGTGTTAGGAAGGAGGCATAAATTAGGAGTAAATGAACAAATATATGTGCTAGGCTTTTAGTTTATGATTGATATCAAAACAGCAACTTGAGTAATTAGATTTGAAAGTAATTCATATGAAAGCAATAACAAGTAGAGTTGGGAATCTGCCACCTGATTATTTTTCTTTCCCTAGCCCGGACTATAAATCAAAACATTTTGAAAAACTGAATTAAAAATTCCTGGAGAATCTGGATTCAAAACAAATTAGGTTATTTTTATTGCTGTCACTATCTGGGTTTTAAGAAACTCTTGTGTATATAGTCCATAAAAGTTATCTGAACCTCAGCACTATTAATGGATCTGTTAGGAAATGGGTTTCTGGAAGATAATGAGTGCTTCATGAGCAATTTAAGAACTTACTGGTGTGATATACAGTGTCTATGACTGTACCTCCTCACTGTAGCCCCCATTTGGTACACATCTCAATTGCTCTGATAGATGTGGAGTCTCTGCTCCCCAAACCTGAAAATCACCAGTTTGCCCAGAGCTTTCTCTATAAGAATACGAGAGTATGATTCCCTCGGAGCCCAGATGAGAAGTACCCTTCTTAGAATCCACTGGGGCATCTGGCACAGTGCTCTAATGTTAGCGAAGTTTAACTGATTCTGTGAACCAGGGTTTGGTAACCAGAAGAGAAACTCTGGCAAGCACCAGTGTAGTGGTTTTCTATGAAGGATCTACTGCCTCTATCCTGGAAAAATAAGGGGGCATTTGAGCATTTATCAAAGTGACTGAGTATATGCGGGGTAGGGAATGGGGATGGGGACAAGATGCTGGATGGTTTATAATCACAGGAATGTCCAGCACAACAAAGAAATGCCCTGTGTCCTGAATTTTCATGTCTACCTGGACATTCATGATTCTTAAAAGAAAATTATAATTATATGCACCCAGACAGTTTTACTATGGATTTTAGGACTGAGTTGCACTTATAGGCTTCGACCACCATAAGCTAAGGGAAGATGATTGTGATGCTTACTACTTGACTAAGGGTCTTTCATGAGTGGCCCCATACCAACATACCTGGTGTTGGTACCTAGTGCCCATCAGACTGAACTGTGTTAGCTGTATGCCTAGTAATCCACAGACACATACATTACTTACTGACACTTCCTTCACATATCAGATATAAGAAACACTGTCTGCAGTATCTAGCTGAGCACTGTCTTATTTATTCTAATTGCAAAATAATTCATTCTAAGTGAGTATGAACATCTGGCCACTTTATAAGGTTTCCTATTTTAGTTATTCCTGAAGTGCTTATATTTTCCTTGAAATTCTGTTTCTAGGGAGGTTCTACTATATGTAAATTTTACTTTAGGATTTGTTGAATGGGTCCCTGAAAATTTATGTGCTGGTATCTTAATTCCCAATGCAACAGTGTGAGGTAGGACCTTTAAGAGGTGATTCGGTCAAGAGGGCTCCATCTTTTTGAGTAGATTACAGCTGTTATGGGAGTGGATTAGTTATATATAAAGGTGGGGACTTTCCCCCTCAACTCTCATTTCTCTCTCTCAGTGTTTGACTTCTCAGCCTCGAGAATTATAAACTAAATAAACTTCTATGGTTTATAACTTACCATCTGTGGTATTCTGTTATACCAGTAGTAGAAGACAAACCAAAACAATTTTTTTATATTACAGAAAGGAAACAGGATACTAAAGAAATGATGTACCCAAAGACAAGCAGTATATTAATAAGTAGCCTTCTGGGGCTGGTGTACCATAGTGAGTAAGAACACTTATTGTGCAAGCATGAGGACTTGAGTTCAAATCCCCAGCACGTATCTAAAAAGCCCAGCCCAGTTGTGAGCACCTGTAAGCCCAGTGCCATGGGCCTGATGATACAGGAGAATTTCTGGGAATTGCTGGCTGCCAGCCTAATTCCAGATTTAGTGAAAAACCCTATTTCAAAGGAATAAAGTACAGTGACAAAGCAGGACACCTGATGTCCTCCTCTGGCCCCCATGCTGGTGCATATACCTATATACACATATGTGCATACCCCTCCAACACACTCACATACACAAAGTAGATGTCTGTAGATTAATGCATAACAGTAGAGTGAATGATGAACAGCCCACATTCCAATACCCTGGCTGTTCTATAAAAGGATATTCAATAATCCAGCCTACATTTATAAAGGACAGTATTTAGTAACATTTTCTTTTGTCACCAATTATCCTTCTCTTATCCCAGGTAAATTCCATCAAAGGTATCCATAAGGAGTATCCTTTTAAACTAGAGTCGCCATTTTTTCCCCTGAAGCTGTTAATATGGACAAGAATTACAGGGCTCCTTGGGAGGGGGGAGATAACTTCTCTGAATCAGAGCAGGGCTTGACTATGCATCTCTCTGAGGCCTTTTGCACTCCCTGGCCCCCCTGGCTTCAGGACCCCCACACATTAGCACTTCAGCCTTTCTCTCCCCCACTATTACCAGTAGCAGCCACTGCCCCATGAAGTTCCCTGTGTCCTTTTTCCCATAACTTCCTAGGCAAATTTACTTAGGAATGGCTGACCTGCAATCCCACGAAGAGCCTTTGGTGCTTCCTCGAATATTGAGATCTTTTTCTCACGTGGGGTGAAGGCTATTTTTTCTCCAGCAGAGTCTGTGGATGAGCCATCCTTCTCACAGTCATTCACATGGCCGTTCTGCATCTGTAGTGCCTGTGACTGTAGGGCCCCTGCCTCAGGCCTCTCTAACTTGTCTTTAGCGTCTTTGTTGGCTTGATGCTGCTTGGATTTGCTTCTTTTCCTTTTATTGTTCTATGATAAGCAAATGAGAAAATGGTATTATTGTTTGGCAGGGATTCTTGAACACAAGGTAAAATAAAACAATCATTTTAACACCTGGATCTTTTAATAGAATGAGTGAAAACACATCTCTATTACCCACCCAGATTAATTTAAATATTTCCTTTCTACAGTAAGTTATTTAAACTTTTACCTTGCAAGTATAGTCAACAAAAAATTTCCTTCATTTAAAAGGAAAAATAAATTAGCAAGGAGTAGCTTAAAAGCAGAGACATAATCTGAGCAGCTTAAGACGCTAAGTATGAATATGGTACAGAAGAATCTTGTGAAAACAGCACTGAAAGACCTTCAGTTTGGTGCTGTTAGGAAACAGTGCTTGCTTCTTGACAAGGTTACAGGCTGGGAGGCCAACTGGGACGCTCAGATTCCATCATCAGGAAGGAGGGAGCTAACGTGCAGGAGTGGCAGAAATGTAGGCGACTCAGTGCAAAACGAGGAGCAGAAGTAGGTCTAAATTGGGTCTCTGAAATAGGCATTGACCAACCAAGAGATTCCAGAAATTGCGGCCACTGTCCCGGAAGTTAGAGGCAGCCACAGGCTCCAGAATCCCTTCACGGCTATTTAAGCTGGAGCAGCAACTGCTACAAGTCACACCAGGCTTGTCCACTCCATCTGGATCCATGGGCCTCTGAGCTGCTGGCTGAACGTTACAAGGTTTCACTCTACGCATTTGAAAGAGCTCTACATTGCATTATACATTTAAAGTGTTTTAGAGCCCAACAGAACAATATGGAAAAGTTTTACTGTATCTTTAATGCTTTAGTGGCAAATACATAACTACCCAGGAAATGAAATAACATGCTGCTCCTAATTATGAGACGAACTTCAAATGACTTTGATTTTTTAAAATTTATTTACTTATATTTTTATCTTAAAGAATTGTTTCATTTTTATTTATGTGTATATATATTTGTGTCTCTGTGTCTGTTACCTGTGTGCAGGTGCCCGTGCAGGCCAGAAGAGCTATTGGAGCTCCTGGAGCTGGAGTTACAGGAGGTTGTGAGCTGTTTGATGTGGGTGCTGGGAGCTGAACCCAGTTCTTCTAGAGGAGCAGTAAGTACTGCTGACCACTGAGCTCTCTCTCTAGTCCTACATTACTTTATTTCTGTGTGTGTGCCTGCCACAGTGCATGTATGGAGATCAGAGGATAACTTTAAAAAAATATTTTATTTATTATTTTTATTTTATATGTATGAGTGTACTGCCTGCATGTATGTAAATGCACCTGTGTTGTGCAATGCAGTGGAGGTCAGAAGAGGGCTTCAGATTCCCCTCAAACTAGAGTTAAGGAAGGTTTGTAGTTGCCATGTGGGTGCTGGGAATCGAACCCAGGTCCTCTGCAAGAGCAGTCAGTGCTCTTAACCACTGAGCCATCTCTCCAGCCCCAGAGGATAATTTTTAGAAGTAGGTTTTTTCCTTCTACAAGGGGCGGGGGAATGTCCCAGGAATGGAACTCAGGTCCTCAGGCTTGGAGATGAGCACATTTACCTGCAGAGTCATCTCACAGGCCCCTGACTTTGGTTTTGTATTCATCTGGTGTCTGATGCCTACTAATAGTACTGCAGATACCTGTCCCATTGGGAAGACTTTCTGGAACACTGCTGAACACCAGCCTGCTTTGTTCTCCTACATGCTTAGAGAAGAAATCAGAAGAAACTGTTTCTTTTCTTTGGTCTCCCTACTTGCTTTCTTTTCCTTTGAAGTCACATGCTCAGGTTTACTTCTAGGTGAGAGATACAGATGCTCAGCATAGGCACAAAGGGCCAGTGGCACCTATGCCCTGCTGCCACCCCCACTGGCTTCTGGTGTTCAGGGCTTGTCCAGGGCTGGGCTTGGGCTCCATCTCTCTTCTGGATCCCTAAGAGGGAGCTTAGTAAGGAGTTGGGTCTGCAGCTGCTGTCTGCTCCTTTTTTTTCCTAACCAGAGAAATTTAAAACCCAAACCACACATCTGAAAATTTTCCATGTAAAGATAAATACTGCCTTTCAATCACTTGCAAATCATCTCCACCTCACACAGAAGCCTGGGAAGCTATGATTAAAGAGTAGCAGAGATTGTCAAAAATGGTGGCATACAAAGTTTGTGTATCGGGGAGGGGGTGTGTGACATCACCTAATTCTTCCTATTTTACATGAAACCAGGAGGAGAAAAAGGAGGAAAGGATGATTCCAGTAATTTCAGTAATCTTGGGATTGTATGAAAATAATGCTGCATTTTTGTTTGTTCAAAATCTGTTTCACAGGCCTGTGATCTTCCCCTGAGGGAAAGGGTGGGCTGGCATATTATATCCCAGGAGAAGCAAAACACAGGGCCCTGTGGTGCCACTGTGGAAATGAGTGACTTTGAAAAGAGCAGCAGACTTTTGCTAGTGTGTGTATAAGCATACCACACGTGTGTTCAGGAGCCACAGCCTCTGATGACCAGACAGGGAAGCAAAATACTGTCATTTGAACGGGACAGAGCAAAATCTTCCCACTGCTCTCATGGAGCAGTTTGACAGGTTCCAGAAGGCCCCTTGCTCACAATGGCATTAAAAGGCATTTTCTTTTCTTCTTTTATTAAAGATCTACTTCATACTTCAGGGAAAAAAATTCTTAGAGCAGCCTTGGATAGATTCTTTCAGTTGGAAACGTGAAAATATATTTAGAGCTTTTCAACTATCTTTAAAATAGTTCTTAATTTTTTCCTTTGTACTATGGATATGTTCAGGCAAGTTGATGTTTAGAATGCCTTGAATTTTCCAGCTGGGCTCTCCTTAATTCTTACAAAGAAACAAAACTCTGAGGCTTCTTAAGCATACCTGGCGGTTAAAAACACTGAGCAGAAAATAAGGGCATCAGGAGCGAAAGTGGCTGGCAATTTAAGAAAGGCATGAATTGGGAAGCTTTCTGGGTGTGCACATTAAGTATCTGAATGAAGCACAAAATTGGCAGCTTTGTTAAAATGATAACTAGGAAGGTTTGATTGAAGATGTTACTAATTCACAAACAACATAAATCTTACCTTCTTTTTTCCTGTCATATTCCATTCTTTTAGAACTTGAATTGCACTGCCTAGACAAAGACAAAGCATCTTCAACAAATATCCACATAATAAAATAGCGCACAAAATTCATTTCTGTCTTTCCATCTCGGTAGCAATTAGGGGAGGAGAGGGAACTTTTTCACCTATTTTGATACAGCCTGCCTTAATAAAAATGCCAGTTTTACTTCTTATTTTCAAGATTTTCATTTAATTCACTGCACAATCTTGGTTTTATCAAAATATTAAGCTCCAGTACATGAAGCTTACGTTTTCTTATCATGATATTGTCTTAGGGAAAATGAAATACATCTTTGAGAATTTTCTGTTAGCTTTCATATATGAATAAAATACTATAATCTTCTGAACCAAACAAGGGGTTCTCAATATTGTTAACCATGACCATCACAGGTTTCTGTGACCATTCTTTTCTCTTTTTAATTCTTACTCATTATGTTCAAGACTTGCTGTGAAATGAGGAAGAGAATCTATGTTGTGAGTCTTTCACCATTCATCATGGAGAGGGAGAGAATGCCTTCTTTACAAGGCTCCCATTTGAACAAGCAAAGTTCATGAAATGATTGTGTCCCAGGCTCTGCTGATCACCATTACATACACAGCCTTGACCCGATGAAGTTAAAGAAATGTTTCATCACTGAAGAGCTACAATCAGGTTTCCACACAGTCTAACAAAATCCATTTATTCTTACTTTCTGGGGGTGATTTCAGCAAGTTACTGGTGATGAGCATCTCAGTGGTTTTATATAAACATTTTATTAAACTACCAGTTCTCTACAAAGTATTGGCTAAAGAGAGATTAACTTCAAACTGGCCTTTATGACAAATTTCAAATTAGTAAACCCCTAGTACTGAGTCTGCTGTCACTGATTGAGAAGCAGTAGGCCATATTGCTAGTATGTAGACAGGCTAATTATTACTATCTATTCAAAGTTTCCAATTCAGTGCCCCTCCTCATCTTGTTTGAGTTGCATGCACTTGACGAGATAAGACAACATTCAAAAGTAAGCTATAATCTACACTCTTTTTTAACTGGGCTGATCTTCCTCTAATTTGCTCAGTGAGTTAATATTTCTCAATGTTTTCCTGTTTTTTGGTAAATTACTCCATTGGCTAATTATCATTAGGGTCATTCTTATTATAACTAAGCTACTTTCTAAATAAAATTAAATTAAAAATGTCAAATATTGTTCTTTTTAATCAGAAGGTGAGTTTGTTACTGCTTTTGTAACTGCAATATTCCATTAGTCTGCTAATTTTCATATTTTGAAATAAATTCTGCTTGTAATTTGGACATTGAGATTATATAGAGTAATTCTGAAGAAATACTCTTATTTACAGAGGATTTTGAAAGTGTTATTTTTAATTATGCCAAATGTTTTTGTGTTTTTTTTTTTAAAGCCATTTGGAATTAGCAATTTCATTATGGCCCATAAATGACTCTAAACAAGTATTTTTGACTCTTACTGGGTTTTAAACAAATCTTTCCTATTGGTTTCCAACCAAAGTGCTACGAAGGGAGTTTTGCTAATGAGATCTCAACATAGACAAGGTGAAAATTCAAGAAGGACAAGAAGCTACTCAAATTCCAGAAAATCTGATGACAGTTACTGTGCGTCTGTGTATCTCATCAGGTGACACTAATAAAAACTTTCCTGATGAGAGCAGGGCTGGGGAAGAAGGGGAGAGCAGCCCTTTTCCTTTCCTTGTGCTTTTTCCATGCAAGTGATGTGGGCAAGTGAAGTCTCAAAGGAGAATTTCTTAGAGTCAGAGTATTTTAAAAAAGAGAGATGGTTTAAGGCAAATTGCACCTACTATTTGATTTTAATGACTAAAGATTCTCCAGCTACATCTTTATATATATGGTTTATGAAGCAGGGAAAACCAGTGAGGAAACAGTGTAGCGCTACACGTGGTAGATCTGCATGCAGGCCTATCCTGAATGATTAGCATTTGTTAATCGAATTAGGACCCTATAAGCCTAGACTGTTGATACTGGAATATGAGCACTGTGCTTGGTTCCTGGATCTTGCCCTGAAATGCAATTATACTGGTAGAAGCTCAAGAAGGTTACTTCACTCCTAGGAAAACAAGGAAATCACTCCATCCCTGGCAAAGTTCAAACAAGCTACAACTGAGAAGTGTGCAGACAGGTTTTCCTCCGACCATATTTGTCAGACTGTTTAGCCTGCCCATTATCTACAAAATAGAACCTAATGCCAGGAAAGAAGTCATTTAATAACTAAGACAAGTGTGAGATCTTTATTCAAAACAGAAACTTGTCTAGTTTGATTAGGAGAGGAACATTTTCCCACAATTTACAGAAAATAGAAGCTTAAAAGTTGCAAATTTATAGAAGAAACATATTCTAGGGACTTGAGGTTCTACAGTGTCATCAGTGATGCAATCTCTAAAAAAAAAACAAGATTTTTTTTTTGTAAGAAGGCAAAAATAATTAGAAGTGGTGCCCTGGTTAATTTTGATTGTCTACTTGACACAACCTAGAGTCACATGGGAAGAGGGAACTTCAACTGAAGAATTTACTCCCTCATATTGGCCTGTGGGCCTATCTGTGAGAAACTGACTAATGGTTGATGTGGGAGGGCCCAGTCCACTGTAGGTGGCACCATCCCTAGGCAGGTGGGCCTGGGCTGTATAAGAAAGTTAGCTGAGTATGAGCCACTGGGCAAGCCAGTAAGCAGCATTCCTCCATGCTTGAGTACTTGCTTGAGTTCCTGCCCTGACTTCCCTTACTGATGGACTGTGACCTGAAGTATAACCCAAATAATCCTTTCCTCCCCAAGTTGCTTTTGGTCAGAGTTTTATCACAGCAACAGAAAACCAAACTAGAATAAGTGAATAAGATGAGACAGTATCTGGGTAATGTAGTTATCATGAGCAAAGAGTGTTCATGAGGAATTCAGTCCACTTAGACAATCTAAGTATGGAATTTCAGAATTATAGCCTTGATAACAGACTTTAGCTAGTTGAAGAGGTGAGAAGACTTTCCAGGTCAGCACTGAGGTTTACTGACCTCCCTTCACAAGGACACCATAAATAAAGGACATGTTTAAAAAATCAAAATGATGGGTAGACAAATTAATAGTGTTATAATTTGTATCCTTTAGAAGATCTTTACAGTTTTTTAAGCGAGAGGAAAAGAATGCCTATATTCTGCTCTTATTATATCTACATGCTTTTAAAGTCTAGTATACTTTTTATGAGAACTAAAGTATTAGGAACTAATTAATACTCAGTTCATGTGAGGAAACAGTACAGACTATATTGTTCATCTAGCACCAGCATCTCCAGTCTCAGGGGGTATGCATACCTACCATCCACAAAGGCTTGCACAGCTTTATCCACATTAAAATCAAACTGTTGCAGCACCAGGACAATTTCATTATTGCTTTTGTTGGGAACAACTGATCTAACTGCGTAGATCTGTAAAGAAAAGGAAAAGCAGGAAAGTAAATAAACCAAGTATTTTTCACTTAAAGATCTCTCCCATTGGATAGAACAGAATTATAAAACAGAAAGGCCCCAGAAAGCTAAGTAATCTATCTTCTTGCCAACACTCTAGGCCTTTCAGAGCAGTGAACATTCATCCTGGTAATCACCTTGATGCCCATTTTATTTATGTACACACCTCTACAGAGATCTCCTAGTTAGGTTTGAAAGAACGAGTATGAAGAGCCAACTCTGGTTTGGCAATCAACCCTCCCCCAAGACTAAGATGCATACAAAATGTGTTTTTAGTTAGGACACAGAATCGTTTTCTGTCTCACGCTTCCTTTCCATGGGCTCAAAGGGTATCTTTAGAAAACATACAGAAATAGCCTCATGCCTCAGCTTCTCTCTGGGCACAGTCCTATGGGGAGGGTCACAGAAGTGTATTGTAAAACTTATTAATGTTTATAAAGATAGGAGAATGTGGAACACTAGATTTTTGAAATGGAAGCCCTAGCTATACTACAGAAAATGTTCTCAGACACACTTTTGAAACATAACCATTGAAAACAGTAAAAGTAAACACATAAATGAGTCAAAGGTTTTGGTGAGTGTAAGCTTATACTCAATCCTCAATGACACAGATACACTTCTCTGTCAAATTTAGCATGGACTCTTTCTAGCTGCTTGTTAGAATTAACTGACCTTTATTTCAAAGATCTTGTGATTATTACAAAATGTTCTATGTATTTTAGCAAAACCTATCTTGCCCCTTTTTTATCAAAAGGATTTCTGTACTAACAAGTGAAAGAGCACTGTGTGGGGCAAAGGAAGTGCTCATTAAAGATCTGTGCAATCTATACATGTTTCTACTCAGAGTTAAATTATGATCAGTGAGTTTTAGAGTTAAATTCAATTTATTATAATTTGGTTCATTGAATATGGTTTATATAAGCATGGTATGTATAATATGACACTATTGATCAGGCATTTAACTGAGCAGTACAGTTTCTTGATTATGTTAGAAAATAGGCAGCCTATTCCATATAGATCTGTATATGAGTACTTAGGTTTTAATGAGAAAAAAAAGCACAAGCTATGGGCAATACAACTTGCAGAGATGCTGACATTATTGATCAGAAACTGGTTTCAAATCCTGACATTTATAAATGCTACATACATAGGCATACAGTACATATTTGCATAACCTGACTCAAGATTCCTTTGGGTTTTTTCTGTTCTTATATTTTATGGTTCTTAGCTTTTCTAGCCTTCATTAGGAAAATTAAGTTATTTTTAAAAATCTGTTTAAAATCTAAGTTATTTCTTACTTTTTAGCTGTCCCCTCTTTAAAAATATAATTCAGTGAATTCAATTTATTTATTTATACAGTGTTTCATTTTACAGTCCAGACTAGACTCAAACTCTCAGTCTTCCTGCCTCAACCTCCTGAGTGGCAGATGTAGCAACACATCACACAACGAATATGGTTCTGAACATCTATTGTGTGATGAGGCACCCAAATTCCTGAAGCATAAAGACTTTAGGGGGATATATACAATGATCAAATGATTATATCGCTATCTATATGAACCTATACTTCTAAGTTGTATATGAGCATCATATCATTATTGACAGGGAGATTTGACTTCACAGATATGCTCAGGTGAGAAGAGATGGATGGGAGGGAAAGGGGAAGGCACTGTGGGCAGAAGAAAGAGCATGTGTGGGGAGTGCAGCGCAGTGAGGCTGGAGGGAAGCAGAGGATGAGGATGTTAGAGCACAGGGGGGCCAGACTGCTGGGACCAGATTGGGCAGAGCCTAAAAGGCCATGCAAATCATTGAGGAACTGTGAGCACCCCTCAGTTATTTGTTGAGCTCATCATGCTAAAAGGATAGGTTTTCTCTCTCATGGCACATTAGTTTTTTAAAGAGAAACCAAGACAAAGGCTGGAGGTAAAGCTCAGTTGGCAGAGCAATCACCTGGCAGGCTCTAGGTTAAGCCCATGACTAGGGGGAAATACAAGTAAGAATGAAAAACTTTAAAAACCCTGAATTTAACAGTCCAATAACAAATAATATTTGCTTTTAGTTACTAATGCATTGGAGTTAGATATAAAAATTACATATTATACTTCTAATGTCTTTTAAATAAGATTTTAGCAGTTCAAACTACTATGATTTTTTTCAGTATGCAAAATATCTTAATAATGACCATCATTATTACCATATTAAGTATGCCTTTCTAAATAATACAATGTTTAGTCATTAATTGCATTAAATGCATCATTATAACATTACACTGAAGTTTTCAAGCCACCTACACACAGCTGTTGTGAATAGAAAAGACCAGGATTATGATAAATAATAAAAATAATTGTGCCCCTTGCTTCTAGATTCTCCTCTGCAAACATAATGTGTTTTATTATGTTGAGGTAAAACACAGTACAAGCCACTGCGTGTAGAGTTTTCCTTCTTAGACACACTATTCCTCCCATTCTTCAAACAGAAATCAAAATCACAAAACAGAAACAATTTTCAGATATGTGTAGAACCATTTTCAGATATGTGTAGGCAACATCTGTGTCTCATTTCATGTGCCTGTGTGTGCACACATGCTCGTGTGGGTAGTGTGTGTATGTGTGGGTACACATGCATGCACATATATGTACCTGTTCATGTGTGGTGTATACATGTGTGCATACAGGTGCACAAGCATGTAGAGGCCAGAGGCTGACATCCTCAGCCACCCTCTCTGTTAGTTTTTGAAACAGGATTTCTCACTGAACCTGAAGCTAACCAGTTTCACTAAACTGGTTAGCCAGTGAGCTGTCTCTACCCCCACCCCCAAGTGTTGTGATTACAGATATGTGTCACTGCACCCAACTTTAATGTGGGTGCTGAGGGTCTGAACTCAGGTCCCACATGCTTGTGCAGCAAGCACACGACCAACTGAAGCCTCTCCCCAGTTCTCTTCATTGTATATAGCCTAGCTCTGAATGTGTCTTCAGAAAATCATCAATAATTGAGTTGTCATATCAACTAGACACAACTCCTAGAGTGTGATACTTAATTAGGAGAGATATTCCAAATTTCACAGAAATGAGCAGAGACAGAACAAAATATTTTCTATATATTCTTGATTATTCTCAGTAATGTTGAATCCTAGGGAATTTCTGGGCTAACTTCCACTTCTGCTCTGGTCACTGGGCTTTGCTAATGTGAAGAGAGCAGCACAATTCATAAATTCACAGAATTATTTTTGTATGGAAATGTTTTTGATAAGAACTGAGAATGCACATGTACTCATATGATACATGTACATGCAGGAGCCTCACTTGATTGCTAGTCATGATTTGGCAGAACTGTAAGGGTCTGAGCATTTAAGTCTTAGAGAGACCTCATTATGAAGTGGCATTAGACACACGGTGCAGATGATCAAGGTGATGCTGCAGTGTTTGTACTCAGAGGCTGCCTGTTTTTGGAAATGCAGCGACTGAGAGCTGCACGGACGGCTCCATCAATGCATGACTAATGGCAGTGTGCATGCGGAGAACGCAAAAAATTCACGCCCGCGGTGGCGGGTTTGCAGAGACTGCTTCTTACACACAGCTGCTCTTCCCTGCCACAGCCAGAGGCGGAGGCTGTAGCTTCATAATCGAGCTCAATGCTGAAAACTGCTTCCCTCAAACTGTAGTACTACTAGGCTCCCAAGCCAAACAAACACAGCAGTCCATTGGTACTCACTAGGCAGACACTCAGGGTGTTGAGTGACAGTCAAGATTGTTGGTTAGAGCTCTATTTAGCAACTCCTTTACCTTTCCAATATCATGCTCATCTGTTTTGCTCCTGCTAATTTAAGTTTGGTTTGGCAAATTCCACCTGCTGTTTAGAAATGGTTTGTTTTGATATTACCTTCTGAGCATCTTCATCTGGATTCCTTCCTTTCTCTGGGGTTTTCCTATTTGGCCCCACAGGCTCTGGCACATTCTGCCTCAGCCCTCCCTGCTGGTATCTCTCATTCACTAACTATGCAGCATGGCAACAGGAGGTGCAGGGGCGCTGCTTGGTTTGTACCTGGGTTGAAGGGGTATTAACAGGTTTACTCTTTCACATGGTACATTTTTGAGCTAGTCTGTGATGGTCCCTTGGATATTCTTCTTGGCTTACCAATGAGTCATTTAAACCATGCTTGAGTTTCAAAAGTGGTTCTGAGCAAAGTTTTCAATCTACTTACACTGCTATGTGATCAGACAAGATCCGTTACCAAACAGACAGCTGAAAGCTCCACTCCCAGTTTCTTCCCTGAAAAGTCACTGAGGATGTTCTTCCTAAAACATAACTGTCCCCTGGTGTCATGAGGGATGATTGCCAAAACCCATGGAAACTCAAGTTCCTTACTAAAAATGGGTATTATTTGTATATAACCTATGCACACCCTCTATGTACTTTAAACAATCTTCAGAGTACTTAAAATATCACAAACAATATACTATGTTAATTACTTGCTATACTGTATTGTTTAGAGAATAATGACAAGAAAAATTCTGTGTGTGTTCAGTACAGATGCAATTTACCCCCAAATATTTCTGATCTAGGGTGAATTGAATTCATGGATGTACAACACATTGATGTTGAGGGATGGCTACCTAATCATGACCATTTTATTCCCTTCCTTAATGACTAAAGGATAAAGTGAATTTGTACATTGTGGCACTCAAAGCCATCAACAACTGGGCTCCAATCTACTTTTCCAAGTGACCCTCTTCTTGTACCATCACATACAAGCTCCTCAAACCCTTTTGACTCCCACCCCCATGGTCTGGGCTCTTCCTTTGACCTAAGATGTGTGTGCTTATCCTAATCTTACATTTCAGCTGAAATGCCAAGTGTTTCATGAGTCCTTTAATGCTTCTTGCCTCCCACAGCCCCTCCTCAGGAGGTGTCTTTTAACACTTACACACCTCTCTTTTATAGCCTGAGGATTTGTGTAC